GCTTCATAAGATTTCCCCTCAAAAGCACAGAACGAATGCCGACACGTGTGTCCAGCAAAAGATCCCTCTGTTTAGCGAAGAAGCCATCCCTGCGTTCAATACTGACCCGCTTTCTTCAACGCGTGGTCGCGTCAAACGTGCTGGTGATAGCTCAAGATTCAGGTAATATCAGCTGACCTGAGTGGGGTCTTTAAATAAACGTGCGGTTGGTTGAAACACCTGGATGGTAATTGGATGATAAGTATCGATGATAGATGTGTTGCCAGCCGTCTCTGCCGCTGTAACCATCATCGCATCCATTGATCATCAGATAAGATTACTTATAAAATGCCATCAACGTTAACTGCCAATTGAAAATTCAACGTACTTGTCAGAAGATTTCTTCCAATACATTTGGTACGAACCAAGGCGTGCGAGAAATGGAAGATGTACGGAATATCAGTCGTACGTGGTGGCACTAGCAGCTCTGAAGTTGACTAAAATCTTATTGTGCACTGTGCCTTAGTTTGACTAATTCATAGAATTCAACCGACTTTTCAGGTCTCCTGGATAAAAATATAGACGTCTGTAGTGATATTGAACATCAAACGTTCGAACGCGAGTATGCAACCAAAAGTTCTCGTCTTCGGCCAAAATATCCTTGGAGTACCCTCTCTCAAAGACTCACTGATCAACGGCTGAGACAAGGAACCCTCATAGATTTGCGGCCAGCCGACTCCGTTGGACTCGGCTCTATCCTGCGTGTATCGAAACTCTTTATGTGGTGGTAGAATGACCTATTTGGGTATCGTAAGTCACTGGTGCAGTTTTACTTACCCACCCAACAAGACTTTCCAAGAGTTTAAAACGATGCTGCGAGAGTCATCTATCCGACGAAAGACGATGTTGTTCTTCATTACAGGTCTGCTCCTGCAGAAAGCATTGCAGGTTTACTCTATTGCAACAAAGAAGATATCGACAAGTTCTTGTTCGCAGCTAGTTCACCTTCGTGTGGAGAATACGACAGTATCCTCGGCCATTCACGTTGTCGGCCCTATAAATGTCTCTACGCCTGGATCCTGTCAATCTGAGGCACTCGTATCATCCTCGTTATGCCGTGTTCAGTTTTTCATCAACACGACCTCAACATCCGTCGTTCACGCCGAGGCGTGGCTACCTGATACCTGGTTTGGGAGGTTTCTTGGATTGGGAAACGGAGGTCTTGATGGCTGTATACCTCATTCATTTGGTTTTCTGTTTTCGCACTGAATCCACAAAGGCATCGATTACACGAACCTTGATTACGGATCCTCACTCCACTTCGCCGCCATTGGTTCGGACAACGGGCATGACGGAAGCGATGGCTCCTTCTTCCTGGATCACCCAGAAGTCATAAACGATTTCGCATTTCGTGCTGTACACGTCGAGGCCGTAATCGGTAAACAGATTGTTGAGGCTTACTACGGGCGTCCGCAGGACAAGTCGTACTACCTTGGGTGCTCGACGGGTGGACGACAGGGGACCCAAGCAGCGCTCAAGTTCCCAGATGACTTTGATGGAATAGTCGCTGGTTCGCCAGCTACCAATTGGAACAATCTTCAGGGATGGAGTGCAATCCTTGGGCGATATGTTGGTGCGCCAGATCCCACGGGAAATCCGAGCTTCATACCAGCTACACTGTGGGATACGATTGCTGCTGAGGTTCTAAAGCAGTGCGATGGACTGGATGGAGTATTGGATGGTATCATCACGGAACCAGATGCATGCGAATTCAGGCCAGAGGCTATTCTATGCACTAGTATTAGCAATGCAACAAACTGCCTCACGTCGCCTCAGGTTGATGCGTTGCACAAGATATATCAGCCACTCTTTGGACTAGATGGGCAGCTGCTTTATTCGCGCTATGATCCTGGTGCGGAGGGGGATGGAGATGCTGGAGCACTTCTTAGCGGTATGATTTTGTCCATATCCGTTGTATGTCGTTCTGGTCAAACTCGACCAAAGAATTGAAGTAAGAAAATTGAAAATTCTAGGGATGGTACAGATTTGCGATACTGAATGACTCGAATTACAACTTTACAACCTTTGACTTGGCGACGATTGAACTTGGGGATCGTATCAATCCTGGAGACATCGAAACCTTTAGTGGCGACCTTTCGGCTTTCGAATCTCGCGGAGGAAAGTTTCTCACCTATCATGGACGAAGATCAGGTAAAGATTGCGTCTCTTTCTTGACGATACGATAGTTTATAGGAATTCATTTGACACCCACAGCTCATCGCGTCAGGAAACTCCAAACAAATGTACAACCTGATCTCGGAAACGCTTTCTATGCCATCTCTCGACCCCTTCTACCGACTGTTTTTGATACCGGGGATGGATCACTGCGCTGGTGGTCCAGGTGCTACTTTATTCGGTCAGGGTGGTATTGCCTCCAATGCGGTGAACGACTCGTCACACAATGTGCTACTTGCAATGGTTGATTGGGTCGAAAATGGTAATGCACCAGAAGTCATTATTGGGACGGACGAGACCGGCCAGTCAAGGATGCATTGCATGTATCCTCAGAGGAGTGTGTGGAATGGGACGGTTTTCGTATGCGAGCCCTAGGATCTGCTGAGATTCACATATACCATTGTATACCTACAGAAAAAATTCACTATGAACCGCATGTTCGAGCAGTTAGTGCTCTGTACAAGATAGTAAATGNNNNTGTATACCTACAGAAAAAATTCACTATGAACCGCATGTTCGAGCAGTTAGTGCTCTGTACAAGATAGTAAATGGTGTTCACAAAGGATGGCCAGTGATAAGACAGAAAATGTGAACATAAGTAAAGCTGCCGGAGCATATCATTAGATCAGGAGTCGTAGTAATTGATAAATCTGGGAAAGACATGGCAAGGAAGGAAGAGACTCAATTACAATAAACAGAAACCGGAAAACCAGAATGACAGAATGAGAGGAAAAGGTAAAGGAGAGGCACACATATACGATTAGCTAGCTGAGGAAGCAGAGAGAGGTAATGAAGAGAGCAATAGCGAAGTAGCAATACACTTTGCGTTGAGAGTAGACATACAAAATTTGAGCCAATTTGTTCGCATAAAGTTCGTTTCTGGTTCATCTGTCATGAGGGACGAGCTCAAGCACTCCGGCAGGGAGAGGCCTAGGCGCGCGCAGGGGACCGCGTAAGAGGAGCATGCCTCGGAGTCTGTGGCGGTTCCTTTAGATCTGGAGTTGGGGTTGAACTGGGACCAAGCATGACACCACCGGTCAAGACGTTGCTCACACCACCTTGGTAGAGATACTTCGTTTTGCAGTTCGGCGAAGAGGTAGTCGGCTTGGGTGTGAGTGACTTGGCTGGACGGGGGGTAGAGCGCGTCAAGGACTCATTGGTGATGGGTGCGAGTAGGGGAATAGAATAGGTGTGCCTAGTGGAGGCAGGGATAAAGGAGGACTGAGTAGGAGTTTTAGATGCGGGGACTGGCGGGGTGTTGGTAGGGAGCGAAAATGATTTGGAGAGGGAGGGGAACGAAGAGGCGGAGACGATAGAAGAATGAGAACTCGCGGACGAGCGAGATGAGAATGAATACGTCGATAGGCGCGAGCTAGGGCGGGAGCTATTATTGTCTGCATCGTCAGAGTCGGACATTTCGCTCGCCGCGCTGGACAGTGGTGCTAACGAAGCGCGAAAAGCGCTATGATCCGTCCATACCACGCCGGTATACCCATCGGATTCCTTGACAACATAGACGGTTGTGGGGCGTAGCACAAGCTTGAATGCCGTACCGCCAAGTGCGAGGAACCAGTCGTCCCACGTCAAATGAAAGTAGTGGCATACAAGTGCAAGGGCCACATGCACAGAGACGGATGAAGGGGATAAGGAGACACGGTCATTGGCAGGGGGAAGAGCACCAAATAAGGCCTTCATCAAAGCAAGGATCTCGGGGTCGCATGTGCACGCAATCTCGTGAAGGGTAGGGACAACGCCTCGACGGAGATATATCGTCTGAGAATCGCCACCAGTGGCCGCAAGGGCGCGGTGTAAGAGGTTGCTGACTTTGGAGATGGCGGAAGACGGTATACCGAGATAGACGAATGGACGGGTGAGGAATATCGAGGCGACGGAAATGGCGGTGAAAGCAGAGGCTGACATGAAGAATAAAGTAAAAGTTCGTGAATCGACTTGCGATATAGGCGTTAGACTACAAAGGCGAAAGCAATAGAATCGTTACAGCAGGCTACAGGAGGTCGTCAGAACAAACGAGACGAAGAGGGAGGTTTGAAAGGTAAACAAGGCGCCTAAACATTTTTATAATCATTTCCATGCCACAGATCAGGCGTTCAATGGACTTACACTGGCCCCATTGTGATTTGCATGAACAATGTAAAATTGACGACTAACTTCCTATTTTGGCAACTCATTCAAAACTTACTGTTGTGGTGTATTTGCACACCAAGACTGAATTATTTTGATGGTTTTCTCTTCGTACAACCACTCTAGTGGAACTACGGGAGCTCATATGACTTCACCCATATCACGCTTATCCTGTACCACTGGAAGTCACTTTTTTCCTCATCTGAATAAGCGGGAATTTACTTGATAACTTCAAATCACTATTCATAGATCCATCCCTGACGACACTGCTTTGTCCAGCGTTTTGGCACGGATGAGTACTCCCTTCCATTGCCATCACATTCCTTTGTCTGTTCAACCTCGTGTTCGAGGAATTTATCGACTAGAATGTCATTGCCATGGACAAGGCCGACTGGCCGGATATGTCAGCGTTAGCCTTGCGTCGACGAAGGTACAGCCACAGTGCATACAAAGTACAGCGACTACCTGTAAGTCCAACCTCATGGATGTCATGAATATTCAATGACCAGCATTCTAGGTATACAATTTCCTATTAAGGCGAGCGCCAGCCTGATTACAGAATGCACTTTTTTCTTTGAGCGATTAGCTAAGTTGTCCCGCTCTGTAGTTACTATAGTTCGACAGAGGACGATGTTTAACATCGCTCGGATATGGTGTAACGGCTAACATTGCCGCCTCTCATAAAGATCGCGGCAGCTCGGGGTTCGATTCCCCGTATCCGAATATTTTCCTTCTCAAAGCAAGCGGATTTGGTATGCTGGTTTCCCAGGGCGCTGACCATATGACAGATTGAACACATCATCTGCTGCAATAGTCAATAAATTTCCTAGATTCATGGGAAAGTCCGGTGTCATATGACACCTTGCAGTTTGCAGTTGCGGTAAACTAGCGGAGGCTTTTGTCGGTCAAGGACAGGATCGAAAATTATTTGAGCCTAATAAAATTAATAAATAGGTGAGTGGCTTCCCAACGCGCCCTTGGCAGATGACAAGTTGATAAAGATTTAAACGTTGCGGATAATGGAGCAGAAGTTCAAGTTGCGACAGAAGTAAACGAAGATATGTCCCTTATCCGATTTTCTGGCGTACAAAGTGGCCATGTGGGCCATGCAGGTCGTCCGTCTTGTTTGACTGGTATGCACTATTTGAACCTTGCCCACGGGAACTTGTAAGGTCCACCGAATACGTGACCCAGGTTCTCGAGGTTCACTCGGGAAATGTATGTGCCAAAACTATTCTATCATCAATCTGCTCATCAGCTTCATAGGAGTCAATCGTATTATCGCGATGTGATGTTAGAAGCGACGAATAGGCGATTAAAAAAGGTTTGCCACCTTCCGAATCCTATGATTGATCTATATTCTTACCTCAGGCTGTCACCGCGCGCAAAATGCACATCAATCAGACACCCGAAAATATGACACTTGTCTCAAGTACATCGATATTGACTTGGGGTTTCAATGCTGATCAACCCAACTTCTTTAGATAACTCGCTAACTGGTTTATGTGGGGCGTGGTATGTAAGTAATCGCCATAGAAGCCGGCACCTGGTGATAGTGAGGAAGGGCTACGTCCGCGAACATCCCTCTAGTGCTCAATCATCAATCGTACTGGGCAAGACATCGATGCAGTTCCTAATCTGCTTTAAAGTTGCCACTCTGTCGTAGCTCAGTCCACCGCATCCCTCTTTGGTACACTTTGCTTCCCAGCAGGCTTTTGCTTCCGGCCAGTCAGCTGATTGCCCAATCGTGTCTCCTAGTGGGCGCCTGTCTATTTCTACGAACATGGCGTTCTTAAATGCCCTCCATGTACGATTATCCAGCTGTGTTATACCGCAGTGACAGCAATGATGCGATGAACTGGAGTACCACCATCAGTGTCCAAATGCGGGGACTGATTGACACCGCTTACCTATTCCCTGCTACGAATCGATGAGGACTATCCAAAAGTCTTTTGAACATCTCTCGCCGCTTTCGATGAAGGTTCATCAGTTGTAACCTGTCTATCGACGACAGTTTATCTAACAACGAAGCATGCCCTACATCATGTAGGTTCAACGCAAGAGTATGTGTTGCAGCGAGTTTAGCCTCCTCCTTCCAATCAAAATGCTTAGCGAGAACGTATAATCGCAAAGGTTCTGATGTAAGGAATTGGGGGTATGTCAATGTAGTGCGTATGCTGGCGATAGGGCCAGGGGTGTCCCATTTCTCGGCCGCTGTGAGAACAAGGTCGACTTCGTCGTATGACTTCCATGACGGAATTGGAATACTACACAGGAGACGAAGTAGCCTCTCAAGGACGAAATCTGATTCGTATATGGGGATCTCCTCCGGCTCGTCCACCCCGTTTACCGGGCCTTTTTGACACCGACCTGGCTCGTCCTTGTGCTGCATCGGTTGAGGCAGACTAAACATCGTGTCGAAAAAGCCTGATGTTTTGCGCAATGTGTAGGAGTGAATACGATACAGGGTACCTTCGAATGAACGAAGGATTATGTCGGCGTCTGGAAAGGAAAATTCTGGATGGAAACACCTTGAGGAAGGGGCATTTTTTGAGAGAACGGTATCGTTCTTGAAGTAATAGGGTGCAGACATAGTGGAGCAGGGGGATTTTGTTGGGGTCTTACCAGATCTCACATCAACTCGTCTCATAAATGCTCGCTGGGTTAGCGCAAGGTTGTCAGACGAGATTCCAGTTTCGGCAACACGTGGGAGCAGGCCCAACGATGACCGTTGAGAGGGCCGTCGCCATTCCTTGCTGTACGGTTAGGTTAATCTATCCCTTTACATGTAAGCGACGATCTCATTCGGGCCTTTCTAAGCCTTAACGTTCCTATAGTTGACAACGACGAGCAAGCGAGTAGCTTTCTTGCACCGTGTCCAGGAGGGGTTAGGAGATAGACAAAACCACCGACAGATGTATTAGAAATAGAAAACAGGTGGAATAGTAAGCAACCACAAGGAACTAAAGAAGCGTTTACGGGAGAGAGAAGCTGAGTTCGTCATTACTTACACATGCCGTCCTTGAGCACAACCCAAATTCTAGCAAATGTCTTCGATCTTCTTCGATTCAGGGATGTTGGCAGTCCTGGCTCTCCATCAAGAGCTCCCAGGGCCCAAATTAGACATCCTCCGAGGAGTAACCGTGACATAGACATACCGTTGATATGGCAGTACATCGTGAGGTGTTTACTATGACTGGGTCAAATCAAACTTGGACACTTCAACTTCAATACTAGGCTCTCTGGGGATATTATCACTCAAATCAGCAGTTTGTCAGTCCGTTGCTCTTGGGGCTAGCGACGCAAAATTAGGCAGCTGCTTGCGCATTCTTATCGGCGGCTGGAATTTTGAATGATAAGACAGGTCTGAGAAGAAGGCCGTAGCGAGCAAATTCTCTTGGAGTATAACTAGACCTTGATTGCTTCTCAAGCTGGCGTTTATTTGGCACACACCTGATCTCGGCGGCAGAAAACTCATGTACTTGTCTAAATGAGCCGTATTCTCGATTTGCTGATTTTCTCCCATTGACTGCTGATCAGTATCAGTCCACAAATACGCAGTTCATCACTGATGCATGTGGTAAAGAGGACAAACGCGGGAGAATGTGCGGAGATAAAATATAGGAGAGGAATCGAAGCCATCCCATGAAGGTAAGTTGGAAGTATCTCCAATCATGAATGATGTATGAATAAAATTTGCGGAATAGTTTTGCTCAGGAATCAGGATGTAATTCTGGAACTTGACCACGTTCAGTGCATAGATGCCATGAGCTTGGTTCATGTCGTTGATGGAATGCTATCCCACGGACAGCAACAAGAATTCAAACCACATGCAACAGTTATTCGATGGGCACGCTTTCACTCAAGTAGTGAGAGAAGACCGTAAGCATGGAATGTTCGCCTAGCAGTCACTGCCCCATCAAGTTTGAGCTAGTTTCCGTAAGGACAGTACAATACCCGAACAGCTGATAGAAGAGGGATAAAGAAGAGAACTGAGCTTCAGAGCGATGAGGCAAGATTTGCTTCACTGAGGCGGCACGTGAAATGGCGTAAGTTTGTATGATCTGTTATAAGAATACTTGAGTACATGGACTAAAAATATGCTCGGCTGCGTTTGGTACACAGAACAATGTACATGAACTACAATAAGGGCTTCTATTGAGTGTAAACTCGGATCGATGCAAAATCGAAATAGGCATCAACGAAGGCTGAGGGATTATCGTTGACATAGTCTAGGACAATTCAATAAGCGTTCGTACATACACAGTGGGAGTCAGACTTACCAATGCAGGTTGAGGGGCATCCAGAGGTTCCAGGGTAGACATTGCCAGCCCAATCTCCGCCTAGTGTGATCGCCGTAAGTATCAAAGTAAAATAACGAGAGAAGGATCTCTCACAGAATGTCAGGTTGATGATAATGTTGTTACCGTCGAAATGTTCGTCGATATTGCACGTAGAGGTGCTGGGGAAGTAAGCTTGGCGAGTACCCTGTTACATGTGAGCCAACAGGACGATCACCTGAAAGAAATATCATACCCAGAGACTGGGGTCGACTGCAAGACCACCATATCGAACTTCAAGGGGAACATTCGTAGCATTGCGGGGCCAGAACCAAATGCCGATAGACGCGCTCGACCTTTCGACGGCAAACCTATAATTTGGAACATTAGTGATAGGTCGATATTATAGCTGTAGGCATAGCACATACCATCCACCACCATTCTCGTTGAAGGGAATTCCGTAGCTCAAGTCGGTGCTCATCTCAACACCACATCCTGTGTTGCCATTGTCATTACCGTAGCAATCAACCAGTTGAGCAGCGCTAATAGGAAGATTCAATTTAAATGAAGAAATTGATAGCGCAGAAAACATACCCCAACTCGGGACGGTCTTCTGTAGGCATGGTACAGTCTGTCCGCTGATGGTGAGTCAAGAATGCGTATCAGAAACGCGGTACATACTTGCGCCGGTGTGAAGCGTAGACAGGTTGGGCACAACATTGTTGACACCTTCCACGATGTCAATTTCACCCTGAACCAAATAGTCAGTTTCAAAATAAGGGTGTTTGAACATGTCACTAATACTCACACCATTGGGCCAATCGGCTTCATCAGTTTCCCAGATGGCGGGCCATGTTCTAAAGAAAATATGTCAGAACGTCAGAGGCGAGAGAAGGCGTCAGAATTGGTATACCCACCCACATCCTTCAGGCATATGCCGAACATCGAAGCTGAATAGCCACACGTCAGTTGCCGGAATAATCACTATCCATGTGCAAACTTACACGGCGACGTGGTGTGTGTAATTCTTGTTTGTCCTGATTCTCACGGAGTCTCTTCCTGGACCATCGGGATCGAGAACGGTTTTGAAGTCGGACCGGAGGATGAAGGTATCGAAGGACGCAAATGTCAGATTTTCATGGATGGCCTGGGACTCATTGACGTAGTTACTTAAAGACAATGTTAAGGGAACTAGGGAGTAAGAATATGTGACTTACACTCGTCCGTGAGTCGGGTCGGCGATGGCTTCAAAATTGAAGGTGTTGTAGAAGTCGGGACCGATAATGGCATCCTCGATGAGGTAGATGCTCGCAAAAGCAGGGACGCAGAGGGTGAGGAGGGAAAGAGCTGTGAAGGACTTCATGTTGCACAGAGCCTGTAGAATCGCGCTACTTTTGTAGGGACCAAAATAAAGAGCTTTTATAGAGGAAAAGCTCGAGGCAC